GGCCAGCCTATGTCATCTTGTTCTTTATGTGATGCAACAGAGGCCAAAATTGTGTAGCAAGTATATAGGATTTGAATCTATAACTATCTGATCCAAAGCATATATTTTTTCATTATACCACTCTGCCTCCAATCTGCCAAAAAGATATTTTAATAATGGCAAACACTTGGATGGTGTTTACTTTATCCCAGTCAATATTATCAATGCTTTAACTATTTGAATATTTATAGCAATCTTATGAGGTAGATATTATCATCATCAACATCTTCATTCATAGATAAGGATATTGAGGCCCAGAGAACTTAAGTAACTTGTCCAGGGTCACACAGCTAATAAGTGGCAGGACCAGGATTTGAACCTAGGCAGTTGACTCCAGAGTCCATGCTCCTCCCACTACACTCTTTTGCTATGAGCAAAGCTCACATGTCAATCTACCTAATATGAGATATACCCGTGTGTACACATCATTTGTAAACATAATTTAACGATATTGCGATATACGATTTTTATTTGCCTATTTAGACGGCAGGGTGTTTTCCTCCCTGCTAGCAGGATTCCACATGGCACCACTGTTCCAAGTTGATTTCTTCCTCTAACCGCAGGCCTAGGTGTTCAGTACATTCAGCACAATGTGATTAAGATTTTGTTTTTCAACCTGAAACAAAAAAGAACATTTCTTTTCAAACCTGAAAAAAGTTAATTCGTTTTTAACGAGACTGGAAGGACCAGCTGCTGAGAAGCCCTGGGACTCTGGGCCCCCTGCTCACTCTCTCCCTTCTAGCCCTTTCTTTCTTTGAGATGACGCTTCTGCTGCAGGCTTGGCTGCCTCCTGCCCCCTGCCTGCCACTGCTGGTCTTTGTGCTGAAGTCGTTCTCAAGCCTTGGACAAAAGCCCCTTGTCCCCCGGGCCCCAACTCTCCTTGTCACACACTCCCTGTGTTTCCAGGTGCGCTAAGACTCTGCGTCCTGGGTCTGTCCTGGGCTCATTGGAGCCTGACTCAGGATCTAACAGCTGGGAGTGCTGAAGCCAGTGGGCGCATCCCCGTGGGCGCCTCAGCTTGGGGAAAGGGTGGGACGCTTGAGAGCAATGGCTGTCTCTGTGCTCCCCGACCCTGAGCTGGCTACAATAGGCTTTCTTTCCTGCGCTGAAAATCTATCACACGCAACTGTTTCTTTGTAAGTCAAACTTTGCTTCCTATCTCAACACACACATGCACACACACACACCCGAGAGAAAAGAATTAGGAAAATACTTAATGTAGCAAGGGCTTGAAGTCAGCAACAGAAAAGGCCTGGCTGGGTCCCTCGCTGGCGTGGTGCACAGGCAGGTGATTAAGGCGCTGTTTGGGGAGGAACTGAGGTCTGGCGGACAAACATGGAGTTCTAACCACAGCCCGGTTACTAGTCCGCAGGAAACATCCTGTTACTATTATAAAGATGAAGTGCTCCTTCTTTTTTTTTTTTTTCTAAAGAACTTTCTAAAAGTCTTCCTTTCCATTCTGATTCAGTTCAAGTCTGTGAGGCAGGAAGGTCTCAGGGCAGCCATGCCTGCAACATTAGCTAATCGGACTCAGAAGAAACATTCCATTCCGCTTAGGAGGGCTGTGGGGAATGGTTTGCTCACGGTGGCTTTTAAAATAAACTGAGGCTTGCCAGGCTGAAAGGACTCCCTGCGGGGCCTGTGACCTGGTTCCAGGCTGGTGCCCGGCAGGCTCGCCTCCTGGTGGGATGGTGGACGTGTCATTAAACATGGTTGCCTTGCCTGATCCCTGTTCCTTGTACCCTTGGTCCTTCCCATTTTGAAATTGGGGAAACTGAGGCCCAGAGAGTAATAATCAAAGTTATAATAACAGCCAGACAGCCAACACATAGAACACTTTATATTAACTTATCTACAAATGTTAAGGGGAGGGGCACCATGGCATAGTGGCAAGAAAGCTATCATTTCGGATCCTGGTTTTGCCACTCTGAAGCTGTGTGGCCTTGTATAAGTAACTACACCTCTCTGAGACTCCGTTTCCTTGTTTCTAAATATTGATAATGATATAGTATCATTATTATAAATATTGTATCATTATAAATTTTGATATCATTTATATAATATAAATTTGGATCATCATATCATTATAGATATTGACAATGATACCTATTCTACAGGCTTGTTGGGAGGAGTAGAAATAATGGATGTAAGCACCTAGAATTGTGCTTGGCACCTCATAGGTACCTGGTCAATAGTCTTTATTATTATTAGGGACACAACGCAGGCCAGTCACAGGATAAACAGTGTTTTCCAATCCTGCTTGACAGTAAGAATTACCCAAGGGACTGGTTAAAAATACAGATTCCCAGCACTCGTCCTCTGTACCCTATGAAAAGGCATGAGAATCTGTGTTATAACAAGGCACAGGGGCATTCCCATCAGGCTGGTTTGGAACACATCCGGGAACCTTCCACTCCAACCTTTGGAGTTAGTTCTTTTGTTTCCTGTGCACTTGGCCCTATATTCCGTAAAGCTTTAGCTTTTGCTTGAAGGTGGACATGATTAAAAGGTCAAACATCATCATATATTCTCAAAGAGATTATGCCCTGAACTTTGCATAACAGACATCCCTGAAAAGCTGCTTGTCCCTAAAATGTGGGGTGTGTGTGTGAGTGTGCGAGAACAGGGATGCATTTCATACCTTAGTTTGCTGTTCCAAGGAATGCATTCAGTTCAACTAGATAAACATTATTTGAGTGACTGCTATGTGCTGAGAATACGATGATAAACAAGAAGCAGGCCCAGTCTCCAAGGGGCTCACTAAGAGGCCAGTGAGGAAGATGATCAAAGAAACGGGTAATTACAACATTGTGGTTGGATAAGGTTAGCACACGCAGCTCAGAGCGCAAGGAGGGGGATTCGCACTCGACTCAGCGCCGGGCATCTGGGATGTTCTAGGGGAAGTGAAATCTGAAGAGGAGACCTATAAACCGGACTCTAGTCTCAAATCCTTTTGCAAAGTGAATGATCCTTCCTTAATTTATCCTGGCGCAAAAATGAACTTGCACATCATGGTACCCCTGGATACAGTTATACAACCGGACGGCTGCACAAATATTGAGTTCCTGCCACCGGCAAGGCCCTGAGCGAGGTGTGGCAGGGCGATCACGGTGAGGAAGGCCGGACCCCTGCCCTCAGGGAGTTTACGCCACACCTACTCAGGGTTAATTTCATCTCTCATGGAGTTCACTAACCCCGTGTGATCTGTTTATGACTGCGCAGGTAGCTTATTATTCAGGTCTTCCCTCCCTTTACCCAAAAGACTGTTTATTTTCCTTCATCACCACGTATTGGGGAAATCCAGTTCCAACCAACACTTAAGCGCGGCGCGGGCACACCTTTCATCGAGGAGAAGATCAGCGTGCACCCTGGAGTTCCCAGAGCTGTTTGCAGACCCACGCCATGATGCTGTGGAGGCCCGGACGGATCTGTGGGGTTTGTAGGGTCTGGGAGCCTTGGGCAGCCTGCAGGCCTGGTAGCACCCACCGTGAGTCAAGCTTTCCTTTCCTCTGGGAATCACGGACACAAACGCCTTTCAAATTACCTTTCTCTGCCCCAAGAAGTGGAGGAAGCAGGGAGGAACAGAATTCCCTGTGAATTACGATAATTACATAATGTTTAAACGAAAGTTGACAAGGTATGAAGTGAACAGGTGAGGTCCCCTTGCCTTCTGAGCTTGTCTGTGTGTGCAGTCTGGTAGGAGCCCCTGAGACCCTTTAAGTGAGGCTGTGTTTCCATCTCCCGGGTGGGGAACCTGAGGTACCCGCGGTGCCCGGAGCCAGTGTTGGCCACCTGGTGGTTCTCACCCTGCTCACACAGAATCCAGCCCAAACTCATTATTCAAAGTCTCCTTCAAACATGAACTCCCAACCTCCCGCTCCCTGCTTCTCAGAAGTCCAGGCCTGAAGCACCCGCCTCCTCTTTCTTTGCCAAGTTACCCCCACTTCCTGAGACGCTGCCCCCCTCTATCTGCCTGGTGAAACCCAACCCATCCTTCAAAGCCCAGCTCAGGTGTCACCTCTCCTCCTGGTTAGAATTCATCTCTCCTCCCCAGCAGGCCTTGGGCCCAGCCCTTTCTCTCATTACTTCTCCTTGGGCAACTGGCTTAGCCTCCCGGACCCTCAGTTCCCTCCTCTGTGCACGGCCATAGTAGTAACACCCGGGGTAATCTTTAACCCCTTTCGGATCATGGACTTCTTTGACCCTGCGATGAAGGTGGCAGAAGACCTAATGTTTATTGAGGCCCATTGTATGTTAGGCCCGGTGTTTAGGGCTTTTCTGTCCCTTATCTCATGTAATCATCAGTCACATCTCTCTAGCCAGGTACTACTATTATATTCAATGCACAGATGAGGAAAGGAGGCCCAGAGAGGTTACACGCCTCTCCAGAGGTCACACAGCTAGCACTCCTAGCAGAACCAGGTTTACCATAAGCCAGAACGGGGGTCCTAAGCCCTGCACCCTCTCCAGTGTCGGCTCTCCGCGTCCTCGGCCCGGGGATGGGGGCGGGGAGAACACGACACACAGCCTATCTCCTACAATTTAGGGGTTCATGCACCCCCAAGCCCACCCCCTGGCCTGGTCAATCAGGCCTCGGCGGGTTGCTGCCTAGACGCAATCCTGGCTGTGCCCTCGGCAGGGACACCGGTCCACATCTGCTGACCCAAACCCAGGGCCATGGAGCGGGGCCGGGGCTGGGGCGCTGCGCCGAGGGGGCCGCGCGGGCTCGTGGCGCGAGAACAGCGGAGCCGCGTCCCGGGTCCCCGGTCCTAGGAATGTGGGAGGGCTGGGCGGAGAGGGCGCGCAAGGCGGGGGCGCTTCCTCCGCCCGCCGGCGGGGAGCCTCCAGGGCGCGCGCGGGGCGCGCCGCCGCCCCCTCCCCGCCTCCCGGCCGGCTCGGCGGGGGCGGGGGCTGCGGCGGAGGGCGGCGAGGGGCCGCGGCGCTCCGCCGCCGCCGGGCCGGCCGGGCGGGAGGAAGCGATGAATATTCAGAGGGGGAGGGGGAAGGGAGGGGGCTGAGCGCTCGCCGCGGCTCCCTGCAGCCCGAGCCGCATGACGCGCGGAGGAGGCAGCGGGAGCCGCCGGGGCCGCCGGAGCCGGGATCAGGACGCCGCGCGCGGGGGGTGGGCGCCGCTCGCTCCGCCCCGCGAAGCCCCCGCGCGCCCAGGGACGCGTCCCCCTCGCTGCAGCCGCGCCAGGCTCCGCCGTGTGGCCGCCGCCGCCGCCGCCGCTGCCATGTCCCCGGGGAAGCCCGGGGCGGGCGGAGCGGGGACTAGGCGGACCGGCTGGAGGAGGAGGAGGCGGAGGCGGCGGCCGGAGGCGGCGACGAGGGCGCCCGAGCTCGGGCACACGGCGGGGCCCGGCTTGCGCGTCCCGGGCACGTTCCAGGGCGCGCGGGGCATGAAGCCGGCGGCGCGGGAGGCGCGGCCCCCTCCGCGCTCGCCGGGGCTGCGCTGGGCGCTGCCGCCGCTGCTGCTGCTGCTGCTGCGCCTGGGCCAGGTGAGCCGCCGGGGGGACCGGGCGCGGGGGAAGGGGGGGGGGCGGGCCTGGCATCCCCTGCACCTGCCCGGGGTGCCCCGCCCGCGGAAATCGGGGGAGGTGGCGAGGGGCCCGCGTCCTCGGAGACCCCCTCTTGCAGGGGGCTCGCGGGAACCCCGGGCGGCCTCGCAGCCCCGGGATCGAGTCCCCTCCCCGGCTGCCCAGGACCAGAGAGAGGGCAGCGGGATATGGGTCCCGGGGTGCCTATCGCCGCCCCGTGGAAGCCCCCCGCGCGGGCTCCAGGCCGTCTCTGGCCCGGCCCTTCCCGGGGCTGGTCCCATCTGGGACCGAGGCGGCCGGAGGGGGCGTGTTTGCGGAGGGCTCGCGGCGCGGAGCCGGGCCGGCCTGGCCGACCTCCGACCCGGCCTGCAGGGGCCCGAGGGGCCGGGCCGAAGGGCAGGGCTGGGCGCGGGGCCTCCGGGCCGAGGGCACTGCCCTGGGGAAAGTTCCCAGGCCCGGGAAAATGTGGCCACTCGCAGGCGCTCCTCCAGGCGGTCCCATCACCCTCCTGGAGAAGCTGCTCGCTTCCCCGGGTTTTGAATTCGTGCTTTGTGGGCGCCGGCGCTGCCTCCCACCGCCCGGTTTTCTAGCTTCGCTTTTCAGATAATGCTGTGCTTGGCGTTTTGGTGACCGACCTTTCTGCAAGCGCCGTTTCCCCTTTCTGGCATGCCTATTGCGGGGAGGCCGGGCAGCTGGGCGACTTTCCCATTTCCCAGATAGGGAAGTTGAGGGAGAGAAGTGAAAGAGCAAAATCTCCCAGCCCTTGCCAGGGAGCTGAGCTAGCGAGTTCGTCCTCACAACCTTCCAGGAGCCTGCTGGGGTCTTGAACCCGCCGTGGAAAGTGCCCTGCTGACCCCCCGTCGTGCATTTTGTTAATGAAAGTCTTCCTTGTTTTGTACAGAGAGCAGCTCTCAGATGCTGTGTGAAACCTGGGCAGTGAGTTATTGGCTGGACGTGGAACCTGGTTTCAGGGAACACTTTTCAAGCACAAATACAGGATTGTCTGAGAGCAGAAACGTCAGCCTTGGGGCAGCAATGCAGCCCAGCAGGCAGGACGAGCAGGGAGCCGGGCCGCCCGGGGCTGAGGTGATTCTCAGCACCCAAGGTCACACTGAGTGCTCCTTCAGTGTTCCACAGCAGGCTTTGAACTGCTCTCCTGAGGTTCTGGAAGGCAGTGCGACCTGCTGTAGAGAAGCCTGGATTAGGTGTCAGAAGACCAGCTCCAGGGCTGGACTTGCTCTTCAGGGTCTTCGACCCTCAGTAGAATGGGGTACCGCCACCTGCCCCGTAGAATTGTCTGAGGGGCTCCCACTGGCCAATGCCTGAAGGAGCCTTGTAAACATTAAGGGGCGTCAAGGTGGGATTACGTTCAGGCCCGGTGTGTATGGCCTGTCCTCTCCCTGTCCGTGAAGGAAACTCATGGGGAGCAGTCGGCAAGATTAAAAAAAAAAATTGCCTCATAATTGAAGATCTCTTGTACCAAAGTTTACGCTAAAACAATACTTGATCTTCATTCATTTCTGGTTTAATTTGGTACATATATATTTTGTTATATTGTTTATTTATTTTTTTTTTTGCACCAGCCGTTGTGGTTGCTAGCCGTGCTTTGAATCAGCGAAAAATTTCATGGGTAAATTTATTTCTTGCCCAATCCTTCCTTGTATTTCCACAGCACTTTGCCGCCCTATTCTTGCCCCCTATTCACATAGTTCCTTCCTCTCGAATTTGTTCTGTAGAAACTCAAAGAGGACTGTTTTTATTTCTCATTTTTGGATACATTATATAATAGGAAATCTAAAAGGCTCTGCGAAAAAACATTTTCAAAATCCCCATTTGACAGTTTATTTCGATACTGGATATTTCCGGGAATCAGTATATTTTTGAGTTGGACCAGGCTTCCAAGATAGCTCAAATCTCTCATTTTTTCAGTTGAAGATATTGAGGCCCAGAGAAGACAGGGGTGGGGCTGAGGTCTCCTGGCAAGACAGTAGAGGGGCCAGGACTGCAACTGTGCGGCCTGTCTGTGCCTACTATTTTCATGATGCTTTTTCTTTGGTCATGTTTTCACCTGGTTCCTCCTTTTAACTATAGACACAGTCCTATCTCACTGCATACTCCTGAGACCGTGGGTGTAAATTGAGTTTTTCCAAGTCAAATCAGATTTGAGATTGGAAGTCATATTTGAGATTTCCGAAGTTTGTGCATGAAGGAAATGTGAGTGAAGGTTTCTGACTACCTCCCTAACACTTGATTGCTGTTGTGAAGCTTGGAGTGTGTGTGTGTGTCTGTTTTAAAACGGAATCAACTGGAGCTGGTTAAAAAATGGACAAGTCATGGAAAAGACGCAGCTCTGTTTGGGCCTTAATGAGGACACGTGTGGAAGCTGGAACGCTGAGATGCTGGAAGACTCAGTGCTTAGTAGGACCGGAAAAGCAATTTTGGACCGTGGCATCTCATTCCCCTTGTCCAAGACAGGAAGGACTGCCGGAGACGATTCCAGCATGAGGACTTTGCTGGTTGCTGTGTCCGACTCCGCCCATTCTTGTAGCATTTTTGCACACTAATTTTGGTTTATGTGTATGTTTTAGAAAATGTGACCAAGCGTTTTTCTTCTCCCTTGCCTTCCTCTCGTGAGAAATGTAGTCCTGACAGATTCTTTAGGATATCATCTTGTTTTTTTTTTTTTTTTTTTGAGGAAGATTAGCCCTGAGCTAACATCTGCCGCCAATCCTCCTCTTTTTGCTGAGGAAGACTGGCCCTGAGCTCACATCTGTGCCCATCTCCCTCTACTTTATATGTGGGACGCTTGCCACAGCATGGCTTGATAAGTGGTGCCATCTCCATACCTGGGATCCAAACCCTGGGCCGCCGAAGCGGAACGTACGCACTTAACCTTAACCACTGCGCCACTGGGCCGGCCCCATAAGATTTCATCTTAATAGTGGGCTGCTTTAAAGTGGAACAAAGCTGGTGGCTGACAGCTGTTTTCTTGGTCTCGTTGTGTTTGGATTTGCTTTTTCTCTGCTTTTTTGTTTCCTGGTGAATAATAATTATTTGTATTTATTATCTATTATAGCTAATCCTTAAGCCCGCCTACCTACCTGCTTCATCCAGAGGACAGAAAATATTTTGACTCCTCTTTAAAGTGCTTGTTAGCTTCTCATCCGGGTGACTTTAAATATTTTTGCTTTGCTTGGGAACAACAGCGGAAAAACCAAACGATTCTGTTTTGTTTGCAGGCGGTTTAAGAAAACAGAGCAAATTGGTTTATGGTTAGATTGTGACTTGGAGTTGCCTTCAAGTTTTGCTCCACGATAAAGATAACCACGGAATACCCAAGCTTTCCTAAGCAGAGAGAATCCTGGCTCCCGAGTGAGCAATTTCGGTCAGCAAAGAGGTTATTTAGCTCCTAAAAGTAATTTCTGCTTGGGGTTGAGGCCTAGGCAGAGTTGCTCAATGACCGTGGGCCCGGGCTCAGCCAGCACACCAGCAGCAATTACTTCTTAGTTCATTCACCGCTTGGCCAAGGGAATTATTTTGAGCGCAGGGTAAGAGGCAATTTTCTGTGTAGTTCTCTTCTAACATCATGCTGCTGATAATATTATAATTAATAGGTAGTGTTATACATGGCAGGCACTGTGTGAAGGATTTTAATGCATTATCTCGTTTGACCATTTCAGAAATACGAAGAAGTAGGTGCGCCTCACGTTCCCATTTTATCTGAGCGAAAACAGGTTCAGAACTTACCGAAGATGCATAACTAGGATGTGGCAGAGGCAGGTCTGATGTCTCCAGGGCCCCAGTTCAGTGTCCTGTGCTGTAAGAAGTCGTGTGTTCGAGAAGGTCTTCAGTGTGCAACTAAGCGATGAGGTGACAGACTTTTGTGGCAAAGGACAGACTTGTGGGCAGGGTGTCATTTTGGGTGTTCTGCATCTAAACCCCATAGGATCTGCTCCGTTTGGAACAGAGACAACCCAGTACCGTCTTTCCTGCTTATGTTTCTTTGGGAGCCTGAGTTTACAAGGCAAGCCTGCCTTAGCGGAGACAGAGTGGCGTCTGGAGGGGAAAGACCTGGGTTCAGGTCCTCGCTCTGCCCCTTCATAGCTGCATAAACTTGGGCAAGTCACTTAACCTCTGTGACTCCTCATTTCCTTACCTGGAAAATGGGACTAATACTTCCTCCTTCACTGGGTGGTTGAGAGGCTCAAATAAAGTAGAAGAGGACCTGCTCTGGAAAATCTAAAACACAATTCAATTGCTGGTCGTGTCTGCTGCCGTTATTTGTGGAGAAAAAGGGGGGCTACAGATCATTTGTTCATACAACAAACATTTATCAAGCTTTTCTCCCAGAGTGGTCCGGAATAATCCCGGGGGGCATGCAAGATGAATTTAGCTCAGTCACAGAACATTTTTTTTTTCCAAGTAATTTTGCTGGGATTATACACAGAACATTTTTCTTACTGTTCAGAATTATTTATTTTAGGGGGTATGAGTAAAAAAAATGGTAAGTTGCATATCAAGCCCATGATTTTATAGGTAGAGTGAGGCTAAATGTAGTGTCATCATAAATAAGTTGGTATAAATATGATGAAAAGCTCATCTAAAGAAAAATACTGGGTAAATAATTATGTAAGGATGATGCGGTTATGGCAGATTTGCAAAGGTGATAAATCACTTAAGTTTGGGAAATGCTAGATGTGTAACAGGCACTGGGTGGAGGCCGTGGTGATGGGCTAGAGAGGTGCCTGCCTTTTTGACCCCTACGGGCCATGGGAGTGAGACATTCCTCCGCTCAGCCCCAGCTAACCAATCCCAAGTCATGACATAGGCTAGATGCGTGCGATGTCCTTTTGGCTTCCAGAGAAAGGGCTGGCACTGGATTTCCCAGAGAAGGAGTGGTGAGAGGGGCCAAGTCTCCTAGTGGAGATCCCCGGACGCCACAGGTATCTCAGAGCAGAGAA